TGAACTGCAGCTGTAAAACAATAACAAAAAAATCCCTTTAAACCAAACTCAACTACCTGTAACAGCACATAGTTAAAACTAATTCCCACCGACAAAAGATTATGTGCGCATTCACTCTGAGCTGCCCCAGGATTCGGTGTAAACTCGGATGATGAAAAACATACATATATCAAGACCTTAAAACTATGAAACTTTCTCCCCCCATCCCAAATATTCTCAATGAAAGTTCTCTGCTCCCACGAAGCGAGTCAAAAACAACAAACCACTAGCAAAATCATCAGCTCCAGGACGACAACCCAGCTGTGTTAGCTCCCTCCTGTCAATGGCTCAGAAGCTGTTTCTCCCTTTACTCCCCGATAGCCTCACTCAAAAAAAAAAAAAAAGCAATACACACATCCTCGGACCTGGCAAGAAAGGGGGTTGGGGGGAACTGCAATTATCAAGGAAGGGAAAAAAGGGGGGATTACTTCAGAACCATGATTCCCACTGCAAACAGCAATGAAGGAGGCAGTATTGTGTCGGGATAAAGGAGGACACCGACGTGGGACATTAAAAAGATGTTCAGTTGTGTGTGCACTTGGAGCTCTCAGAGGCCGACTGAGTCCAGGGAGCAGAAAGTAAGAAAACCTGTGCTTTCCCGGCTTTCTTCTACTCTTCCCCCTGCAAGAGGGGAAGCTAAAGAAACCGGGGGGGAGGGGCGGGTACAACAAGACAGGCCTTAGGGTTCCTTCAGTTACTCACACACACCCAGTTAGGAGGGTCTCAGAGGGAAGAGAAAGAGGGAACCCCTAAATATCACCCACCTCCGTTCAAAATGAAAAAAAAAAAAAAGAAAGTAAGGGAGAATGATTAAATCCAGATGTAGCGCCCCTGAAAGAGCCCCCAGGTCACTCATCCCCATTAGCACCGGAAGGGCTGGGATGAGGGGAAGGAGGGTTGGAGGGCTGGTCAGGGCAAAGGCCCCACCCCCCCGATTTAGGAGTGGAGAGGAGCCCCAGCTCCCCGCTGTCCCTCGGGCCCGCACCTCCCTCCTTGGTCACCCCCACCTAGCTCCCCTTCCCGGCCTTTCGGAGTCTCCCAAGCCCCTGGCACCGCTGGGGAGGCGGCCGTCCTTCCTCCCTCACCCACCCGTCCCCACCCCCACTCGGCACACCTCCCGCCCGCCGCGGCCCGTTACCTGCTCGTCGAAGCGACTGACCACGGCCTGGACCCATTCCACCGGCCTGTGCGCGGCCATGTCCTCCCCGCGGCCGGGGGACAGCGGACGGACAGATCGGCCGGCGCCCGGGGCCGGGAAGAGGGCGGGCAGCGGAGGCTGAGGTGAGGGGAGAGACGAGGAGAGGGTCTGAGGAGGGCAGGCTCCCAACGTTCCCACCGGGTGGGGATTGAGGGCTCGGCGCCCAGCCGGGAGGGAAGAGGGGAAGGGGGCGTTGGCGAGGAGGCAGGGGGGAAGGGACAGGGGGAGGGGGACCCGGGGAGGGGAGGGGACCTCTTGGTCGTTCTCCCCACTAGCGCTGTCTCCCCTCAGCCATCACAGCCCGAGACGCCGCCATGACACCCCACCGGAAGTGGGATCCTTTCCACGGCCCGGGGAGAGGGAGAGCTTGCAAGCTCGAGATTGAGAGCGCGGCTGGGAGAGGGGAGGGAGAAGCGAGAGGAGGGGCTTTCTGCGCATGCGCCCGCGTCGGCCGGTTTCATTAATGAAAAAGCAAGTCCTCCTGGAGGTGACGTCACCTAACTCTTCCAGGCCCCCGAGGCGCGCGTGCCTCTGCGCCGTGGGGCTCACCTAGACTCTCACTGGGCTCGGGTCGTGAGAGTCGGAGCTGACCCCGGAGCATCTGCTCCCATCCCCACCGCCGCCTCGGGCTGCCCCTCCCCTGCCGGCCTCCGGGTTTGGATGGCTCCGGGCTAGCTTTTCTCCCAGCGCGCAGATTTCTGCGCTGATCTCTTGGGGACGCTGTGCCTAGCCTTCTTGTGCCTTCAGCGCTGACAAAAAAATAAGGCACACACCCTCAGGTCCTTCGTAGCTTGTATAGAGCTGAGGGCGGGCGGGGGGGGGGAGGGGGGAGGGCGGGGGGGAGTGAGGCCCAGGGAGATTCCATGATTTTTTTTAAGGTTGCATAAAAATTCCAAAGCTAGATGCAGTGGCGACCAAAGTACTCAGACTGCAGCGTCCAAGCCTTACTTACTTCCTTTGCTAAACTGATAGGCACCCAAGTTAATGAAACTTTTACACACTTGATAATAGGATTCAAGTTTCACCATCCTCAAAAGGCCTTGAAGGGCCTTGCATACCTAATTCAACACATTCATCATTTATTTCAGCCTTTCAACTAGCCTTCCAGTAGACACAGTAGCCCTCACCTAACTGAGGAACAGGTCGCAGGAGGTTCCTGACATGCCCAAGGTCATGGAGTTGATAGGTGGCAGACTCAGGATGCAAATGCTGGTGGTTTGACTCCAAAGGCAATGGAAACAAGGGCCTTCCCTATCTATACTAATCCCACACTTCGTGTGGAATTGGCTGTGCACTTTTCCAAGAACAGGATATTGTCCCAAACATAGGATGATCTATCTGTATCTAACATTGAACTTTGTTGTTAAATTTTATCTTCCTTGGTATGTTTTACCTAGATTAATGTTAAAATGTGTTTACATATTCTGAGTACACACTACAGTAAACAGGCCACACAGAAAGATTCTAACTGGGTGATAAGATGAAGTAAAGATACAATTTTTATTTTACCACAGAAATCCACAAAGGCAATATCATGTACAAAAAGATATATCTGTAGGAGAAATTTCCAGTCTGTGTAGATTGGGTGATTGTCCAAAATACATATTAAATTAATATTTCATTCCACTAGAAAACGGACAGGTTGGATATTTCTTTGCTCCCTTCTTGCAGAATGCAGCCTGGAGACTGACTTCTTTTTAGATGATGTCACAAATTATGACAACACGTAAAAAGTAATGGAGAATATTAAATATCTCTCTGTGCTTTCCCTCAAATAGGACCCCCTGAAAATCTCACTCTTACCCCCAACTAACTATGCGACCCACAACCTTACTTTCCTTTCTCACCGCTTCTGAAAGTCCCTAATTACTTCCTTGTTCCCCTGGCTTTTTGCTTGACTTATTCCCCCTCATCTATCTTTGATACACCAGACATGACTATTCAAGCCCTCAGCTCCCGTGCCTCCATGACATTCCATTGCTAAGGTTTTTCTGTTTCCTTCTCCTTGTCTGGTTTCTTCTGTGATGCCCATTCCTCTCTAACCCTCTCTAACCCCTAGGTGTTTAGCTTTTGCTCTTCCTGAGTCCAGGCTCTAGCCATCAGGCCAGTTAATTCACCTTAATCTGTACTTGCTATCCTGTTTCATCCCCCTGGAATACCAAGCCTCTGTTACAGATGGAGGTCTAGCTTCACCCCAGCCTCCTCTCCAATAAAGTCACTCAGTGATACTGAACCAATTATGTTTGTCCAAACCTATTATATACTGTATACTTTGTTAAGCAGTATCTATGCTTAACTGTGTATGACAGGAGTTCTAAACCAAGATGCCAAAAGAAGGCATTGCGTAGAGTGCAGTGAAACCAAGAAAAACAACACACATTTAAAAAGGACAGCTGTGACCCAGTGTTGCTAGGTCTTCTGGTTACTCAAGAGAAGCTGGAGATCCAAATTTATGAATAAAGTTTTCCAGGTTTTTACATTGTGGCAGCAATTCACATTTTTAAAAAATGTTGTGCAGCCAAACAAAATATATCTGTTGTCTGAATTTGGCTCAGGGAAACTAATTTGACTAGCTATAGTCTAGTGGAAAGCATGAGCTTCTGAGCAGACTAGGTTTAGGTTTCTATCCTAGCTTCTCCTATTCTGCACTGCCCAGCATGATTATTAGGGAATACATACAAGTGTTGGTACAGTTGTAAATATATCTCCCTCATTCATCCTCCTTTTTTTGGTCTGGCAACCATCTCAGACAATTGTGTTCATGGGTTTTATTCAAGGTCCCAGCAGCATTCCCTTGAGTCTATCTTCCTCTGCACTTCTCCCATCTCCACTGGCACAAAACCGCAGCATACCAAAGATCACTTGGTCTAAGGTGCTCATTTCCCCACCTGCTGAATACCTCAGGCTGAATACCTCTTCAGGAATTGCCCCCCACTCCCTTCACTTCTGATGTTGACTCTAAGGGCACTAAATTCCATTAGAAGACTTAATCACTGGAACTTAATCATCCTGTGGCCAGTGGCAGTGAGACCCCAAAGTGAACAGTACCATATAGGCTCTGCAGTATGTTATGAAAAAGGATGACACTGGGTGCTGGTGGCTCACACCTGTATCCTAGCTACTCAGAAGGCAGTGATGAGGAGAATCACAGTTCAAAAGCCAGCCCTGGCCAAATAGTTCATGAGACCCTATGGAAACCAACCGAGTACATCGCTATAAAGAAAAATATGGAGGGCGTG